TGTTAAAAGTGAGTTTAAAAAATCATGACAAAATGCTTTTTCGTAAAGTTCATTCTTAACGAATCACAAGAGACTAGACTGTAAATGAGAAAACAAGAGGGAAAAATAAGTCAACATCAGTAACTAACAGAGGATGGTGAATTATGTATCCTTCCGTTTAGAGTTGAAACATTTGACATGTATTTTTGTTATCAAACAAATGCTAGTTCACCCGCTCTTTGTCCTATATCACTGAATAGAACGATGTCCGTATGTAATCTAGGTAAGATATGGATCATTTCATGTAACTCGGCCGAAAACGTGGTTCTGTAGTATTCTTTTTGCTACTTTCTCATCTTCATACCTTTCAAATGAGAAGACTCCCGATGCTCACGATTGTTTCATTTTGCCAAGAAAAGCGTATCGAATCAAATCTTATGCATCAAAATTCTTAGTTAAGGAGATATTGCAAAAATATTTTCTTTTTTTAAAAGATGTATACCTCCTATGTTGTCGAAATCGGACGAAAACCGCGGTTAATTACCGGTTTTCGTCCGGTTTCGACAACATCGGCTGCATTTTATCGATTCTACTTGTATAACAAAGAATCCTATAGAGTTCTGAGGTATATCACTTTATGAAGCCAGTTTTCTCCGTACAATAAGGCAATTGTGAGCTTCAGGTGTCTTTTTGTCAGAAGACTCCCGATGCTCACGATTGTTTCATTTTACGAAGAAAAGTGTGTCGAGCAAAATCTTATGCATCAGAATTCTTAGTTAAGGAGATATTGCGAAAATATTTTCTTTTTTTAAACGATGTATGCCTACGTTTTATCGATTCTACTTGCATAACAAAGAATCCTATAGAGTTCTGAAGTATATCACTTTGTGAAGTCCGGTTTTCTTGGTAAAATAAGGTAATTGTGAGCTTCAGGCGTCTTTTTGTTCGAAAGGTCTAAATATGAGAAAGTAGCATAAAACACTAGAGAATCAATTTTCCGCTAAGTTACTTAGAATGATGATCCGTATGCCTTTCTCCAAAATTTCTACCTTTTGAAAGATCGTTCTGCTTCCACTAGGTGCTTATGGCATTGAAACATTCATTGATTCTGGTGAGAAAGTGTACGAGCTATCCAACGTCGACAGTGACATAATAGATTATCACTGCCTAAGATTTTATTATTATTTCACAAATGGAAATGATCAAGCAAGTATTAGTGTCATAATGAGATCGCCGTTCGGTGATTTCAATGAAACAATCGGTAACGTCTCAGAATGGATAGATAATAAATGGCATGAATATAGGAACACATTCCAAATGTCTACGCAAGGATCAAAGGTGATAATATATGCAATATTTATAACAAATTGTGTGCAAACACTCATTTTTCAGTACATCCACTCATTATTCATTCTATACTAGATTATTATGTTCTTATTGTTGTAGTTTTATATTGTATTTGAACGTCGAACTGGTACTGGTACATTCAATATGGCAATTGATGATATACGTATTGTTCATGGACCTTGTTGTACGTAATGAACAGAATATATTTTCTTTAATTTAGGGGTCTTTCTGTTGTTTAGTACCTTTAACTTCGACATCTATATCGTCAACATCATCTACAAGTACATCAAGCACTCATACCACGATAACGGATTCAACGCAACAAATTAGTACAGAATCAAGCATTTCCATAGCACAAACACCTACAAAATTAAGTCAATCAAGTTTAGTACTAGAAATACAGGTAAGGTCAACAGCTCCGCAATAAAGATGAATCATTATCTATTTGCTTAAAACGTCAACAGCATCACGATTTTCAGTGGTATTAAACAAACATTTTAGCGCATTCTATTCAACAACGCTCGCATTTTCTCACGATAATTATATCTATTTTATTGGATTGATTTCAATATTATTGTTCGCTTAATTTTGCTGACGAGGAAACGTTTCTCGATGAACTCTTCAGATTTCGTTCGTTCATACGTCATTCGATAGAGTATATTGAGATAAGAGAAAGCCTAAAAGATTTTGGATCCATGGCTTTTCAAGACCCGGTTTCTGTAAAACCAGTTTTTCAGAAACTCTAAAAAATAACCAAAACCTTTCTTAACGAGGCACGATTGTAGCCCGCACATTTCTGATTAAAATGAGATATCTCCCAGCTCTTTGCGACCTTTCTTTACAAAGTTATACAATTTACACAAAAAGCCCTAAATGTTCATTGTCAGCTCAAAGCTACAGAAATAAGAAGAAATTAATTTAGGGCTTTTCGTGTAAATTCTATAACTTTTTAAAGAAAGGTCACAAAGAGCTGGGAGATATCTCATTTAATCAGAAATTTGCGGGCTACAATCATGTCTCGTAAAGAAAGGTTTTGGTTATTTTTCGGAGTATCTGAAAAACTGGTTTTCCAGAAACCGAGCCTTGAAAAGCCATGCGCCAGAAATCTTTTAGACTTTCTCTTATCTCAATATACTCTATCGAATGACGTATGAACGAACGAAATCGGAAGAGTTCACCGAAAAACGTTCCCTGGTGAGTGAATTCATATTTTAGAATTCCACAACTGACATCTCAACTCGACGGACATCAATGTCCACACCAATAAGAGCCACGACACAGCTAACAACTATGCATCTGTCCACTAGCCCAGAACCAAGCACAAGTTCAACCACAGGAATAACGGGTATGTTTAGCATAATCAGCTAGAAACTCTTTCAGTCTTAAATATCTTTCTTGATCGAAAATTCAATCACGACTTCATCTCATTCAATGCATATTATTTACAAGACGGTCAATTCTTCAATGTTCTCTAGATAGATATGATGTAGATATGGTTACTGCTCTTGAGCTAAATAAAAGATGTATCCCTAGTTACATCCGCGCTTTATTCTTGCCGCGATTATGTCGCGGCCGCGAATTTTGCGCGTTCCGCGAAAAATTGGCGATCGCGCCGCGAAAATTTTTGCGCGCCGCGTTCGCGGTCAAGATCACATCGCGTTCGCGATTCAAGTCAGATTGTATCGCGTTCGCGTTCGGGGACGCTACACATTCGCGATTCAAATCGCGTCAGGTTCACCTCTAGATCGTGTCGCGTTCGCGATTCAGATCGTGTCGCGTTCGCGATTCAGATCGTGGCGCGTACATAATTTAGACGAAATTGCATCGCGTTCGCGGTTCAGATCATATTGTATCGCGTTCCTGGCTGGGATCGCGTCGCGTTCGCGACTCAG